GGACATATGGGACACTGGGCACCAGGGGGTAGGCGGCACTGAGTGGGCTCAGGGCAGAGGTGGCAGCGGGGATGGTGGCACACAGGGGACTCGGGGGACATATGGGACACTGGGCACCGGGGATGATGGGACACAGGGGACTGAGGACACACGGGGGACCCTTGGACACAGATGACACCAGGGGTGGCAAGACACAGGGGATGAGAGACACGGGGCAGCAGGGGTGGCGGGATACAGGTGGCATAGGGGATGATGGCACATACGGGACACTGAGCACAGATGGCAGCAGAGATGGTGGCACATAGGGGATGAGGGACACTGGGCAGCGGGGGTGGTGGGACACAGGGGACTGGGGACACCAGGAATGGTAGCACACGGGGGACCCTTGGACACAGGGCACACAGATGGCATCAGGGGTGGTGGGACACAGGGGACTCGGGACACTGGGCACACAGATGGCACCCAGGATGGCAGCACAGAGGGGACAAGGCCGCCAGGGATGGTAGCACAGAGGGGACACTGGGCACCAGGTATGATGGCACTGGGAATGGGAGCACATAGAGGACATGGGGCACTAGGGATGGCAGCACACAGGGGACAAGGACATGGGGAATGGTGGCACACAAGGGACCTGGGACACATGGGGGACACTGGGCAGTGGGGGTGGCAGGACACAGGGGGGACAGATGGCACTGGGAATGGCAGGACAGAGACAGAGGGGACACAGATGGCACCAGGTGTGACAACACACAGGGGACAAGTACACAGGGGATGATGGCACAGAGGGGACGCTGGGCACTGGGGATGATGATGGCACACAGATGGCACTGGAGATGGTGGCACAGAAGAGACACTAGGCACCAGGGGTGGCAGCAGGCACCTGGGACACTGCACACCCATCTCCGAGCAAACATGGCCCCAGCTCTGCCAGCACCCAGACCACTGGGGACACTGGGGATGGCAGCACATGGGACAACAGACACGCAGGACACCAGGCACCCCGGGCTCTGGGGATGCCAGTACCCAGCCCAACACGCATGTGGAGTCCCGGGAACAAGGTGCAACCAGCACCAAGCAGAGGACACGTACCACGCACAACACAACACTGCCCACACCAAGGCACGGGCCTACAGCTGGGAATGTCACCTCCCCTTCCCACAGGCCACGCTCAGCACAGCCCTGGCTCCTCACGAACCCAACGATCAGCCCAAGTGACCTGTGCGGGATCTCAAGAGCAGCAAAGGGAAAAGAGGGAGGAAATTCAGCCCCTCCTACTGATTCAGACCTTCATTCCAACCCAGAAGTGAAGGTCACGCCTGTCTCAAGGTTTTTCCTTCTACGATGGGAACAAAGAAGGGAAATACCCCGAAGCCTCGCAACAAATCGCTCTGGAGAAGCTGCACTTGGGCAGAGAAAAACATCATCCAATCTGCACTCCCAATCCTCATCTTTTATTAGTTACAGTTCCAGAGGAGACAACAGTTGCATTTCTAGATCTTGTTGAAAGCAGCAATGTCAACGCTCTGCACCTGAAACAGAACAAAAGCAGCAGGCAGAGATGAGCCAAGGGGTTTTAGAGACATTTAAACCAAAGAAAACACTCACATTGGGGATTTCTTCACAGCAGGCGCTAGCCAAGCTCGGCTCAGGTCTCTTAGACCAGCTCCCCAGCAGTGGTAAGGACTATTATTTAATATTCCTTGTGACATCAGTGACAACAGGACACTGCACCGCACTAGTTACTGCATCAATCTTTAGAAGAACATCATACTATGAGTTTCTAGCAACATTAATCTTAAAGTTCCTGATTTATTCTAAATATAAGCAAAAAAAAGTAGGCAAAGATCAATAAAATGAGGTATCCAGCGTGCTGCTCTTCCCAACAGTGAGACTGGGAGCATTACTACCTGTCACGGGGCTGGAGCTACCATTTCCATGGAAGGAGGAAGGATGGGGCTGGAGACATCTCCTCCAGCCAAGGTTAAATATCTGTGTGTCTACCCTGGTGCTGCCCAGGCGAAGCGTAAAAGCAAGGGGTTCCCCAAAGAAACAGCCAGTGGGGGCTGGGTGGGCAGCAAGAGCCTGCAGAACAGCTTTACAAAGCATCTTGCAAGGTATCTGTGTCAGCCAGCCTTTTAAAAAAATCTCTTTAGTTATCCTACACAAGTGTCTCAGCAGGCAGACACCATCACTTCCACACGTGGTTTTCTTCTAAAAACCCAAGTTTGCCTAAAATGTGCAAACGAACCCTTGTTAGAAATACCCCACAGGTCAGGCATCGCCCAGCTCGCTGAAAGACTTACGTAGTCTTCAAACTTGGTGATCTCCTCCTCCAGGATGTCTGTCCCCACTTTCTCATCCTCCACTACGCACTGGATCTGGAGCTTCTTAATGCCATAGCCTACTGGGACCAGCTTGGAGGCTCCCCAAACCAACCCGTCCATGTGGATGGACCGGACGCATTCCTCCATCTTCGTCATGTCAGTCTCATCGTCCCACTGCAAAAGCATAAAGCACAAACTTCAGTGGTTTTTGACAATTTGACCAAGACAGTTTTATTCCCATCTTTAGGGCACTTATTATGTGTCTTGTCTTCAAGTCCTGGTCAGGGAAAACAGCCTGCGCTTGCCATGGTGCACAAAGGCTGCAAGATCCCACCTCGCTCCAACCCCTTGTTTGGAAATCTGCAGGTCCCATCTAGCGATAGGACGAGAGGAATCGGCCTCAAGTTGCACCAGGGGAGGTTCAAATTGGACATTAGGGAAAATGTCTTTACTGGAAGAGTGGCCAAGCCCTGGAACAGGCTGCTCAGGGAGGTGGTGGAGTCACCATCCCTGCAGGTGTTCAAAGAACATGTTGATGTGTCACTTCGGGACATGGTTTAGTGGGCATGGTGGGGTTGGGTTGACGGTTGGACTTGAGGATCTTGGAGGCCTTTTCCAACCTAACGATTTTAGGATTCACCAGTCCACTCGGATGTGCAAGGGATGACTTAAAGCCTCCTGCAGCACAAGACACGCAGCCTCACGTGGGGGCTCCCCCACTCCAGTTACTCACTGGCTTCACATCCAAAAGGATAGAAGACTTGGCAATAAGACCCGGTTTCTTGGCCTTCTTCTCTGCGTACTGCCGCAGTCTCTCCTCCCGGACTTTGGCAGCCTCTTGGTCTTCCTCTTCATCATCGCTACCAAAAAGGTCGATGTCATCATCGTCATCTTCCTCTGCAGCAGCAGGCTCAACTTTCTTTGCTGGTGAAGTAGATGGAAGCTCCACTTTCTTGGAGGGAACGCTGAACGGTTCCACTTTCTTCATCGGGGTGACGTGCATTGAAGTTCGCATGAAGGAAAAAGGGGAGAAGGTTAACGTGAAGGTGGATCTCAGGAGCAGCTCAGGAACACAAGTCTACGTCACTCATGACAGCGAAGGTGGCCCACACCACGCCATGTGTGTGAAGCAGCACCTACGGGCTATCAAACCAGGACATTCCACCAGATGGACCTTTGAAACGGCCCAGCACGGCCGTACTTCTATTCCTAGAGCGAAAACTACTGCGTGGCCAAGAGCTGATCCTTCTCCTAAGGGCTCAGACTGTTATAATCAGATCTGAATTTCGAATAGCTAATTACTTTTCATTGATAATTAATTGTTTTTAATGAACAACTAGTTTCTTCTATTTATTTCCTGATTCAATTAATTTGCATTATAGTAAGAAATACACAAAATCTCAGTTATGCTAAGAGACAGCAGATGCAGGCCTTACGAAGATGGCCAAAGCTAAAGCCGCTGCGGGTTGTGAAGCTGTGCAGAACAGAACAGGGAGGCAAGGAGACAGGTACAAGGGGTGAAATTGTACATTCTCAGGTAGTTCTCTTATGGGATGAAACCATAGAAACAAAGGGATGTTGCTGTGAAGACTCTCACATCCTCCCCATCCTGATTTGTATATCAAGAGATTTTGATCAGTAAAATAACCAATGATTATATTAGTATAGGAATATTAATAAAGTCATATGATAGGGTGGACCAATCATTGTAAATGTCAAAATTAATAGTGGGCATAACATGCATGCTAATGTCAAAATATGTTAAAGATCATGACTTTGCAGAAAAAGGATATAAAAATGCTGAATTTTTGATGTAACTTTGAAGCACGTGAGGAGGAGCCATTGCCTGGGCTTCCCCCCCGCTGCGATACAGCGCCGGCTTCTCTGCCACAGCACAGAGAAGTTTGTCGTGATGGGGACCCTCCATCAACAAGACCGTAAGAGTCCCAGTGGGACAGCAGTTGGGGACGCAACCAAGCGTCTTCGCCCAGCATGAGGAGCCTTACGCCTTCTGCAGGCTTACTGCAGAGACCACCAGCACGTCTTCCAACCTCCAACAAGACTCGATCCCATTGGTGCCACGCGTTCAGCTCCCACGGAGCCCTCTCAAATTTTTATCGGGGACATTGGTTAAAACAAAGAAGTGTCACCAATTCTGCTCATCTATTGTAACAAAGCAGCATTTTACCTGGTGCCTGCTAAGAAACTCGCAGCACCGTGGGCTGAACGCTGACCAAGTACATATTAACTCCAAACTTCCACAGATCCGCAGCAGCCCTCCCTAGCTGAAACCTCTAATGTAGCTTCTTTGCTGGTCTTAA